ACCCTCAATGAGGTGGATTGACACAGTGGCTGCAACAATGGGCTGAAGCATAACAACGACTGTGAGGATGGTGCAGGACTGGGCAGTGTTTTGTTCTGTTGTACATAGGTCACTATGAGTCGGGACTGACTCAACGGCACCTAACAACAATGACAACAACAACTTCTCTAATAAACCCTATAACTGTGAGTATGGTCTGTGAGCTCTATGTGGTCATGCAATGAATTATCAAACCCAGCGAAGAAATAGAGAGTGCCATGGGATGGAATGTTGGTGTCCGAATTGGTAAAAAGGTTGGAGAGAAGAGGCATGTCTGACCTCTGCCTCATAGGAATCATTCTTGGGCTATTGATCTTGATTCTTCTTCCTCTTTCTGAAGTTAGAGGAGGTCAGATGCCACCTCTTGAGGCTGGCTGGGACTTAAGCCTAGTTATAAGTCTAGAAGCAAAAATGGGGGTGAGTCCTGGGGACATTCATCAGTATCTTGGAAAGCATCCGCTTCAGGTGATGCCCCAGGCAATGTCTCAGACAAAGCCTCTTCAGATACAGCTTATATGGGACAGAAGGGATAATGGTTTTACTAGGCAGGGTGGCTTAGCAGACAAAGCTAGAGTAATCTCTTCAGATGGGAGTGAGAGGGCTGGTTCTGTTGGCAGGAGTGATTCAACAGAATTTATGGGCTCAATGTCCCCAGCTTCCTGATTTTCTGTCCATATGTCCCCATCCCAAGATTCAGGATTCCATTTTTTCTCAATCAATCTCCTCGCTTTAACTTCAGATTCCATTTGAGGTTGGGAATTTAAGTGTCATTTAAATTAAGCCAGTCTTAGGATAAGACTCTGGGTTTGGTGTTTGGCAATATCAGCTCTGTTACTACATGACATAAGGCTTTCTTTCAGGGCACAAGTGGCAACTCTCAGGTCTTTTAGGTGTCACTTGAGTTGTGACTCTGAAGCCCGGAGCTCATCCCTTCTCTTCACCAATTTGTCTAATGACAGCAGGATCAAGCAATAAGACTCCCTATACTTTGCAGTTTGTCAGAAATGTTGAGGAATATCACATATACAATCATCCATAGCCTTATTTCTCACAAATAGTTTATCTAATGGTGGTGGTATTTTACATATTTCTTTCACTACTGGAGTTAGAGTCATTAGTGACTTTAAGTCCAGCCAGACTTGACAGCCAATTCAGAAAACTCATCCTTAAGATTTTGTTTCTCTAGAAGCACTCTTGGCACCAAATGCCTTAGTCTAGGTTCTCTAGAGGT